GAAACCCAAGGAGGGGTCGCTATGAGTCAGGGCTGACTCGATGGCACATAACAACAACAATTTTGCTAATTTAACAGATCACAATCACTAGAAAAGGACATCATGTTTAGTAAAGTAGGCCAGCAAAAATTATGGAAACCTTCAAAAAGATGGGATTGACACCATACCCACAACAATGTGTTCAAATATACCAAGGGTCATGAAGATGGTGCGGGACTGGGCAGAGTTTTGTTCTGTTATATAAGGGAATCCTGAGTAGAAGTCAACTTGACAGCAACTAACAACAGATCTTGTAGTCAATTAATTAATCAGGCCTTTTCTATGAGTATCATTATGTGTTTAATAAGGGCCTTGAGTTTACAATATTTAAATCTTTAGGATTGACAAATGTTTTCAATAGCCCATAGTTGGCAATTTGCTGCTATAAATAATATACACTTTGTTACATAAACCAACAACATAAATGCAAATGCCTATAAAACAAATCTCTGCATTTACATTTTGTTTGCTTTTTAACTTTTTCATGGGTTCACAGCTCTTTGGTGAGTGATAGTTTTCAAAATGTGTCTAACTGGATAGCTACTGGCATGATAAAAAGACAAAAATATTTTTTAGCTTATAATTAAGAAATGTATGTCAACCTAAAAAATACTGCTCAGGTTCCTTGACCTAATATATCTGTATTATTAATTTGAATTTCAGAATTGGAAGATTCATTTGATTTACTGGGACATTTTTAGATAGCATAAAAATGTCTCATTAAAAATCTTAAAATCTCGATTCAGTAAATGTACATACAGGTGGTTTATTTATTTATTTATTTATTTTTAGTTCCCAACAATTTATTAGATATCTGGTGGGTGATCTTTAATTTATACATCTTTTCCTTGGAATATGGTAAAATTGAACTCTATAGCTGACTTTCCTAGAAATACATTTAAAGATAGGTTTACTGTCATGATGAAAACATTCAATGAAAGTATACTAAGCGTGAGCACATGTCAAATGATCATCTGTAGAACAAACAGCTACTCATCTGGAATCTGTCTTAAGCTTCCCATCATCGAGAGAACCACTTTTATAGAAAACTGATGACTTTGTGAGCTTACCTCTAAGCGTGAAAACTACTGAAGCCTCTGCACTACCTTTGAGAAAAACGAATCCATAGATTTAATTTAAAAGTGGAGTGGTGACATTATCCAGCACAGCTAAGATTGTCTTCTGGCATGAGGACATACAGAGTACTCTAGAAAGGTTGGACTTGAGGATCCTGAGAAGAATTCTCTCTGTCCTCAATTCTGCTCCCTCTCCCACTGACCCCAGTACTGTAATGCCACGACACATGGGTCTCCTGCTGTGGGTTAAAGATGCGCCCTTTGCCAGCATCCTTTATTGAAAGGTAAGCAGACTTTGGGAAAGGCAGTACCCTCAACTTCAGCCAGTCTCATTCTAGTTTGAAAATACCAGAAGACTGTTCACTCTTTTGACCATTTGTTGGGAACAGAGCTCCTACATAAAGGAACAGGGAAGTAAATTTAGAATAAATATGAAGGGATAATTTTAGATCTGGATACCAGGTAGAAGGCACTCATATCTCCCCCATAGACCAGTGGAGAAAGAAAGGGTTTGGGGGTTATCTGAAGAACCATAAGAAAAGGAAGGGATAGTCAGGGGAAAAGGAGGGAAGAGAGACAAGGTTTCTCCACTGGCCTGAGTGCAGTATTTTGTTGTTGTTGTTTGCCGTCGAGTTGGCCCCAACTCATAGCGACCCCTCCTTGGGTTTCCGAGGCAGTATCACTACGGAAGTAGGATTGCCCAACCTTCCTTCCGAGGAGTGGCTGGTGGGTTTGAACCGCCAGCCTTCTGGTGAGCAGTCAAGTGCCTTAGGCACTATGCTACCAGAGCTCCTATAGTATTTCTGGCCTTAGTATAAAATCTAAATCAGTTTAATAGGTACAAGACTTTCATTGAGTCTTTTGTTTAGTTACTTTATCTACCATATTCATAGTTCTTTCATCATGGACCTCCCCTCAATATCGAGTTGGATTTTTTCCTTTATATAATGCCATGATTTGATGATGGCACAAGGATGTCACTGGCTGGTACTGGGGTGTATGGGGTAATGTTATAACGTCTAACATAATCCTATGGGATAGAGACCTACACCCATCCCATCCCCACCTGCTGCCAACAAGAATTCCACTGAAAAAATTAAAAAGCAGTTTGTAGCACATGATGAACACAGTGTCATTGGACTGTACATAAGAGTGTTAAAATGGCAAATGTTATAGAAAGATATGGATAAATATATCAATAAAAAAAGGAGATGACAAGCAGTTAAATTCAGCACATAATCAATTAAATGCAAGAATAAAATTGCGACACTCCTTGACTTAGAGTAAAATCCTTAAAAAGCAACATGAGACACTGTTTTCGAAACATGGCACTTTAAACCAACATTTAATGATATGGTGCTAAGGCTAAAAGGATAAAACCCTTGAACTACTTCAACATCCACAGAAAACAATGTAAAAGTAATAGCCCACTTGGGCTTGCCACTACTCTTGACAGGTGAGTAACTTCCAGAGAATTTACTGTAGAACTGAAACAGTGGTGTGAAGAGCACCTCCCCCTCCCAGCCCACTCCCATCTACAAGTGCAGGAACATGGGGGTGGACCCTTAAAAGGCCTGTAAACCAAAGTTCGAAAACTGCCTGCCCAGATGCTGTCTCCCAGCTTCTTTCCTGACGGCAAGAAGAATATGAATTTAGATGTCAACCCTCACGATTTAGGGCCCATAACATTTCTTTCAAAATCATATATATAAATGTTTCTTCATGCCTCTAGTAAATAAAAAACAGCTACTTTTTGAGAAAATAATAATAATAAAACCAAACTCACTGCCGGAGTCGATTCATAGCAAGTCCTCCTTGGGTTTCTGAGGCAACATCTCTACTGAAGTAGACTGCGCAGTCTTCCTTCCAAGAAGTGGCTGGTGGGTTTGAACTAGCAGCCCTCTGGTCAGCAGTCAAATGCCTAAGGCACTACACCACCAGAGCTCCCAAAACAACTATTTATAATAGAAGACAAAACTTGATGCGATTCTGTTAAGATCCTTTGTTTGCTCATTCAAAAGGCTACTGCTTCTTGTTCAGGCTGCCACAGCAAATCTATGTAATGGGGAAAAAATTTCCTTGACTCAATGAGCTAATATCAGTAAGCAATTTATTAAAGAGCCTGCTATTTATCACTGGAATTTGGAACAATTACGACTCATTGAAAATAAGTATTCATTGCTTTTTTTTTTCCTCCTTACAAAATCTTTCAGTTCCAACATCACTTCAGTAGACTGTTAAAAGTATTTTGCCCTTTGTCTTTTTGGAATCAAGCCCAGGAGTGAGAAGGCACTGGCAGCAGCTGTCACAAACCCAATGGTACTTATTGCTCGGTTGGCCTAGAAGAAAAAAGAGACAAACAAAAGACAGATCTTATTCTAAAGGCATCTCACAACATCGTCTGACCTTGTTTCCTAAACCAAAGACCCATTTTAACGTATAATAAATCAATTTAAAGTTGCTATGCAAGGTTAAAATTCTGTATGAATGAAGAACTAAATGTATGATTTTTAAAATTATGCTAAACATATAGATACATATAAGTATATATTCCTTGCATTTTTATAACACCTCACAGTTTCTAAACGATCATGTACACAGTTCCCATTAGTCACCACAGCACAACTGCCCTTTTGGGAAGATGTCAGTCATCTTCTTGAGGTCATACCCCCTGGTTGTTTAGGGACAGGATGGGTCTTATGAATCAGGTTTTTTCCTTCTTTTATACCCCTACCCCTAAGCACACATTTTGTTTGGGTTGGTCTCTTATTGAGCACGTTGGTATATATATAGGAATGCCAGTCTATTCACAGAATAATTCAGGGATCTGAGCTGGCAGAAATACATATAGGCCCTAATTTGGTAGATACAATTTCTATTCTGATAAATAAGAGAAATCAATACTGATGTTAACTATCATGTTAAAAATTAATTTATCATGTAGGCAAACTAAAATCAACTACTCAAAAGCTCAATTGTGCATAAAGGAGTTCAGACATTTACAGCTTTAAGGGCATTCATCATCATCAGGATGAGGGAGTTAATGAATATTCATGGCTTTCATGGCACTCAACTAATACAGGCTTCCATCTGCATGGGTTTGAGTGCAATTTTATGACCCAAAGGTCACATTCAGATACTTCAGGGTCTTCAGGTATTCAAAAAACAACATTTGTTCTCTGATAATTAAGAATCAGGCTTTCAAATAAAGCAAATGTCTTTCCCAGATGACTCGGGTTCAGCCCAAGAACTGGAAATCCTGACTCAGTACATGTGAGCATGCCCTCTTTCCATCCCACAAGCTTCCGCCACTGTGTCTGCCACCCACATATTACTGCAACCCAACACTGCCTTTCTAACTGGAGTTACTCTCTTGGGAATAGGCAGCAAGGATCAGGGCCAGAGAAGAGGCACAATAATATCAGTGTCAGCTCTCAGCAGGTATTTGCTCCTTAATACCATCCTGTGATCTGTAAGGACAAGACTAGGAACTGTGACTTCCTTCCCCCAGTTCCCATGCAGAATGGCACTGGCAAACAACTTGGCCCTAAAACAGGACAAACACTATTTTAAATAGATTATAATTTTATTTTTTTATTTGCTTGTTAATGTATTTATTTATCATGTTAAATTAGAGACTACCTAAATTTGTTCCCGGGAGAGAGTCAGAATTCATTGCAACACAGAGCTAATCATAAGGACATGTGGGGAACCAAAAAGGGAAATTCCTAAAGAGGGCAGAATCAACAGTCAGACAGGTACTGTTCTGGTTCCCTAGTGCCGCTCTGACAAGAATGTACCACAAATGGGATGGCCTTAACAAACAGGAGTTTATTCTTTCAATTTGGAGGCTTTAAGTCCAAGTTTAAAGTGCCAGGCTCTAGGGGCTGGGTGAAAGCCCCTCAACCTTGGGGTCCAGCTCTGCCTCCTACTCCTGGCCCACTGGAGCTAGAGGCGTTTCTTCACTCAAGCAGCTGCTGGCTGCTGAGGCTGGAAGCCCCAAGGTTGACAAGTAAAAAGGCACAGTCCCGATGTTACCAGACCACACGGCAGGCCATTAGCTTAAGTCCACTGTAAGTCCCAAGGTCGGCAGAGCATGGCAGGCTGCTGAGCAATGACACAGCTACATGCAGGGTCCAAGCGTGCCATTGGCTAGAGACCATTCTCAAAGCTTCTCCTTATATACAGGAAGCAGACCACATCCCCAAAGGCAGCTACTCAGCTGCTTGTGGTAGATCCCACCATGGAGTTGACTGCCAGTCTCATCATGGGGAATAACTACCACCAGCTGCCCAGCGACACAACCAGGCCCAGCCAAGCTGATATGCAAACATAATTACCACAATTCCACTCCTTGTCAACTTGGCACCTGTACAGATCTTCAGTGGATGGAATCTGTACAGGTCTCTTCAACTGGGTGGCTCCAGTCTCCTAGTTTCTGAACAGTGACCTCACCCCCTTGGCCTAGAAACGGGCCCTGTTTCTCTCCCTCTTGGGCTTGACAGCCCCGCCCCCTGACTCTTGGGCAGCAGCTGTGGCTCCATCCCACCGGCTCACATGAAGAGCAGCCCCACACTCCAGAACCAAGTTGGTGAGGGCCTGGTTCTAGGGGCCTGTGATCATTCCACCCCCAAAGGCCATGGTCCTATCCTTTCAGGCTGAGGCAGCTCTGCTTCTATTTCCTTGGTCTCTCCGCTTCTACCGATTAATGCCTGAGGGCAACCCACTCTGCCAGCAATCTTCTTGCCCCAAAGGACATTTAGCTTTCTTGCTCCGTGGGCCGGCCAACCTGCTACTCCATGTCAAGCTGGTCTCTTCTATCAATTAATGCCTGAAGGCAACCCACTCCACCAGGAAACCGCCTAACCAAAGGCATCAAGCTTTCTCCTCCGTGGGCTGGTAAGGCTGTGGCTGTCTCATGCTGGTTCTCTCAGCTCTGCTCCTGCCGTCTCTCATGCCGGTCTCTTACCGTCTGTCCTGCTGTCTATTATGCCATATGCTGGGGTCTCTCTGCTAGGGTCTCGGGTCAAGGACGCACTCCACTCCTGTTTCCACATTTTAGGTATCTGTCAGAGCAGCACCCCACTCTCTCAGTACCAAATTCTGTTCTGGTTACCTAGTGCTGCTCTGACAAAAATATACCACAAATGGGATGGCCTTAACAAACAGGAGTTTATTCTTTCAATTTGGAGGCTTTAAGTCCAAGTTTAAAGTGCCAGGCTCTAGGGGCTGGGTGAAAGCCCCTCAACCTTGGGGTCCAGCTCTGCCTCCTACTCCAGGTCCACTGCAGCTAGAGGTGTTTCTTCACTCAAGTAGCTGCTGGCTGCTGAGGCTGGAAGCCCCAAGGTTGACAAGTAAAAAGGCACAGTCTTGATGTTACCAGACCACACAGCAGGCCATTAGCTTAAGTCCACTGTAAGTCCCAAGGTCGGCAGAGCATGGCAGGCTGCTGAGCAATGACACAGCTACATGCAGGGTCCAAGCGTGCCATTGGCTAGAGACCATTCTCAAAGCTTCTCCTTATATGCAGGAAGCAGACCACATCCCCAAAGGCAACTACTCAGCTGCTTGTGGTAGATCCCACCATGGAGTTGACTGCCAGTCTCATCATGGGGAATAACTACCACCAGCCGCCCAATCACTCAACCAGGCCCAGCCAAGTTGACACACAAACATAACTACCATAGGTACCAAGGACTATAAACCAAACCCAGCCCTAGTGCAACTACAGGCAGATGCTGTGCTATCAAGAAGGTCTTTTGCAGAGAAATGGAGCAGGCACTGTAAAAATAGAAAGGTGCAATTAGTGCCTTTAAAGAAAGCGTCAAATAGCAGCAAGACACATCCCTGGGAAAGTGTCAAGATCCCGAGGATAGGGTGGTCCCAGGTAGAGGCAGCATTGACTTGGCATCTTTCAGTCACTAGAAACTCAAGATGAAGGAAAAATTCCACAAATCCAAGAGAACTGGGGAGGGGATGGATCCCAAACCAAAATTCTGTGAGAAGTCATAAGCCATACACCATCATAAGCTGATTACTTTCAGCAGTACATGCAGTTTCCCAAATCCCTAAATGCTCATGCCTTTCAAATTGCATTCTAGATGAAAAAATCCTATTTAATTTGGACAATCCCTTAGAATTACATGAAATGGGGTCTGACCTTCAAGATCATAAAACATACCAGGATGTTCTTGGTGAACCAGCTTGAGCAAGAGCTTTTGCATACGGCTTACTGAGGATTAGAAGATCTCCAAATCTGACTCTGCAGACTTCATCCTTTACAAGGATTTCTGTCTGTGGGCCCTAAGAAAGGCCTCTGTCAGAGGACCTGCACAGGCCCAGTGAAATGTTAGCTAAATCTGGAACAGATGAGACCAGACATCAGTGTGGCAGGGTCACCGATGATTGTAGGATTTATCAAAATGTCTCTTCCCTCCTGAGGGCCTAACGCTGTTGTGACAAGCACTGAAGCCCAGCCAGGACATATTCATGAGTCAGGGTGTCTACATTATTTAATGGTGCTGCCATCTTCCACAAAGCTAGACTCATTTTAATAAACTTCTTAGATTATAACTAGCAAATGTTGATCTTAGGAAATGGGAAAAACACAGAAAAGCACAAAAATAAAGAGAAAGTTGTTTCACAACCTTCTACCCTTTCAATCTTTCTTATGCTTTTAATTTTTTTCTTTTCATTTGAGGAAGTACATAGCCATTCCCTAAGAAAACTTCCTAAGGTCAAGGTCCCTAAGCCTTAAACCAGTTGTCACCAAGTTGATTCATGGTGACCCCAGGTGTGTCAGAACAGATTAGATTTTCAGTGGCTAATTTTTCAGCAGTAGATCACCAGGACTTTCTTCCAAAGCACCTCTGGATGGACTTGAACTGCCAACCTTTTGGTTAGAGCTGAGTGTGTCAATTGTTTGTACCATCTACTAAAGGGAACCCCAAATGTTATTGTTGTTATGTGCCATTGAGCTGGACGCGACTCATAGCGACCCCTCCTTGGGTTTTTGAGGCAGTATCACTAGGGAAGTACACTGCCCAACCTTCCTTCCATGGAGTGGCTGGTGGGTTTGAACCACCAGCCTTCTGGTTACCAGTCAGGTGCCTTAGGCATTATGCCACCAGAGCTCCCAAACTAAGAATAGCTATCATTATAAAATACTATAATTAAAAATAATATCCAGCTTATGTACTCTGTTTACTAGGATAGACAATATGTAGCACACTATGCTGTGAAGTTTCAAAAATGTCATATCATCTTCAAAACAACCTCAGTTTATACATTAGAAAACTTATATACAGGAGTAGGTTAAAAAATGTGGCTGAGATCACTCAGCTAATAAATGAGTAAGTGAAGACCGGTTTCTAGCACAGGTCTGCAGGACTCTGCAGCTTGGGTGGGTTTTCAAGCTGTCACTGCACCATCTTCATCAGAACCTATTGGGACCAGTCTGATTATTTGTTGAGGAATAATTAACTTTTCAGGGTCATGAGTCTGAGAGTTTTCAGGCACACCATTAGTTTTCCATGCAATGGTGAGCAGTAATTTGCGTGTGTGCCCTATGTGGCAAACTCAATTCTGACTCAATTTATTGTTACATGGGAAGAGAACGCTCAGTATGTTAATGTATTTCCTGATAAAAATGAATTCTCAATTAAATTATTTCCTAATGAAAACAAATGTATCCTTTCCATTCATTGCAAGTCCCATTTTCCCAAGCTTTCATGACAGGAGTTATAACTTCTGTTACTAAAAGTTAATATAACTGATTTACCGTTTCAAGATACTGGAAGCCTTGAATAAATTTGAGATATTAGAATATTATTATAGTTATGACATAATTCTTTGTATTTTCAAAGTCTGCTTTTTTCAGTTTTCATAGGCAACACCTTGTTGTTGTTGTTATGTGCTGTCGAGTCAGACCCAACTCATAGCGACCCCTCCTTCGGTTTCTGAGATAGTATCACTACGGAAGTAGATTGCCCCATCTTCCTTCCGAGGAGTGGCTGGTGGGTTTGAACCACCAGCCTTAGCAGTCAAGTGCCTTAGGCACTATGCTACCAGAGCTCCCAAGGCAACACCTTAGTACTTTAAAATGTTAAATTATTTTGGGTATCTTACCCAAATTAACATCTGTATTTAGATTTTAGATGAAGAGGATTTCTTCTTGAAAAAGTTTTAAATACTCATTCTCATACCACCCTAATAAGGCCTTCAGACAAAACATCAAGGATATAACTGGATTGTTGGAACTAACCCCAAAACCAAATGCAATGCCATTGGGTCAATTCCAACTCATAGCAACCCTATTTAAAAAAAAAAAAAAAAAAACACCTCACTGCCATGGAGTTGGATCAGAGTCATAGCAACCCCTCCTTGGGTTTCTAAGGCAGTATCACTATAGAAGTAGATTGCCCAACCTTCCTTCTAAGGAGTGGCTGGTGGGTTTGAACTGCCAGCCTTCTGGGTAGCAGTGTCCTATAGGCTTTCCAAGTCTCTAATCTTTACAGAAAGCAGACTAGCACATCTTTCTACTGATGAGCAGTTAGTGGGTGGAAACCCTGACCTTTCAGTTAGCAGCCAAGAGCTTAACCAACGCACCACCAGGGTTATGCAGGTAGGATAAAGGCAAATGAATCAAGCATGCTGTTACTTAGGAAACTGCCATCCTACAAAATGATGGTAACTGATAAAATTGCAAGCTACCTTAAGGCTAAAGTCAATTAATCCATTAAAAACTTTGTCCAGAAGCTTCATGGCCCAAGGGATCTACAAAAACACATTTTCTTAAAATTATTATTGCAATGAAATAGAAAACATTTACAAGCCCACAAAGATGTGTCAGTCATTGGTCTCTGCCAGCTAATGAAAAAGGATAGCAGAATTACCATCTATATTTTTAGCAAATGAACATCTACTCGAAAAAGTCATCAATCAGTATATGAGGTTTTATTATTATTTTTATTATTATTTTATTATTATTTGAAATTGCTGTAGAGTAGATTAAACCAAAACCAAAGCAAAGCTACTGCTATCAAATCAATTACAACTCATAGAGACCCCCATTGGGTTTCCAAGGCTGTAAATCTTTACAGGAGTATTCAGCCCCATCCTCCTTCTGTGGAGGTGCTGATGGGTTTGAACACCAACCTTCTGGTTAGCAGCCAAATAAATGCCTTATGCACTGCACCACCAGAGCTCCGTATGTATGGTAGAGTAATGGTGGTGGGGGGACGAAGAATGAAGGTCAATAAAACTGAGAGAAAGATATAGTCTTGATTGTATTTCAAGTCTCTTCTAGCCCAGAACTCAAGATATCCATGTTCTAGTCTCAGTGGTCATTAACTTGCTGAAAGATCTTGGACAACTCAACACCCTTCTCAGTCTTTAGTTTTTTTCATATTTTCTTATTCTTTTCATTTGGTTTGAGGTCTGGGAGCCTTATCATAATCAACAGTTATTATGCTACCAGTGTAAGAAGTTTCTTCTATCTCCTAAAGAAAACTCACCTGTTCTGAAACTCCTTCTCCATAGCGAAGCAAAGTCACAAAATGCTCACAGTTGTTGTCAAATATATCATATGCCACCTCCTGTCCAATAACAAACTCTGAGCGTTGCATGACTTCTTCCACAGGAAGAGGGGGGTATGTTTCATCGTATTTATTGTTTATTCTATAGGTGTCACTTCCCACGACATCCTTCAAGAGCTGCATCTTCACCAGGGCCTTTCTGCTGAATACAGACTTGGCACTTGTAAATGACGCAGGAAGGCTATCCTCTGTAAGGAGAATTCTGGTTAATATGGCACAGTGGACTAGTCCAGTCAACTGCAATGTAATCTAAACATTAATCTTACTAACCTTAACCACTCATTCGATAACTTATCAGTAATGTGCTCAATACTGCATGAGTAAGAATATAAGAAAAACTTTTTTAAAATCTGTGATCTCCTCATAGAACAAATTGAATGAGAATATCCATTCTTTCCATTCTTGGGGAAAATGCTTACTACTGATTGGTATTATCATTAGAGATCTTGGTATATCTTTCTAAAACAGAACAATTAGATCAACCCTTGCTGTTGAGTCGACTGCAACTCATGATGACTTCAGTGTGTCAGAGTAGAACTTCACTCCACAGGGTTTTCCATGGCTGTCATCTCACAGAAGTAACCACTAAGCCTTTCTTCTGGGGCACTACTGAAGGGGGGCAAACCTTCAATATTTTGGTCAATAGCCAAGGGCAAACTGATAAGATTATTGCCTGCTTCTTCTATAGAGCAGACTCTCCGTCAGTGTGTGAACCCTTCCAAACCAGTATGGGGCTTAGCAGTACTGCATTATGATTAGCAGGCACCTCCTGGTAGCTAGGCCACACTCCTCACTTCCACCTACACTTTTTACACTTGTTTTTTCAACCAGGCTTCTGCCTTAGCTCCTGCTTTCCTGTTCTGAAACTTGAATGGTACCCCAGTTCTGCAAGAGGCCACCTGGCATCAGGCGGGGGGCCCTGCTTTTCACTTACCAGTTCCTTTTGCTAAGAAACAAAATCCTGACCCTGAACCCTAACCTAGTAGTCATTGTCCACAGATATGATCCCATGCTATGTCCTACCTACCCGTTACAATGTCCCACACCTCATCCCCCATCTTAGCTGCTTTTATTGGTGAACATTTGCGTAGACAACCAGGAAGCCTGTAGCCTTGACCTGACACTCAGTACCTGAGGCTGCATAGACAATTTCTATGTGGGCAGGTCTAACACTAGGTCCTGGTCCCTCTCCAACTGTCCACAACTGTAACACTTGTCCATGCTTGGATGAATCATGAGAGGAAGAGTCTTTATATAACCAGTGTTTAAATCTTTCCCTTTTAATCATGGCTAACAGAAAATTTTCTTTTCCACTCTCTTTTTTTATATTTTCCAAGCTCCTTCTCATTTTCCAGTTAAAATCCTACACAGTGAAAGTTGTAACACATTAAACACATATATCCTATTTAGAGCATATAATATCCTTTTAAAACAAAACAACAACAACAACAAAGATAACTCACTTCCATTGTGTCGATTCTGACTCATAGCAACCCTCATTTGAGTGTCTGAGCTGAAAATCTTTAGGGAAATAGATTGCCCGATCTTCCTTCTATAGAGTAGCTGGTGGGTTTTGAACCACTGACCATCTGGTTAGCAGCCAAATAAATGCCTATACTACACTGCCAGAGCTCCTTTAATATCCCATTTAGAACTATTAAACTTTGTTTTTGTTGTTGTTGTTATTATTTTGTTGTTATTTTGGACTAGGCCAATGGCATCAATTTACAGATGAAGAAATTGACTGTTGGGGAGATAAAGTGGCTTGCAAAAGATTAATCAAAAAGATAACAATAGAAACAGGAATAGAATTTTGATTTACAGGATCAAAGCTCAGTGTTTAAACCACATTAATGTGGAGTTTAAAATACATGAAAATAAGGAAACAGCACCAAATGCCATGTTATTTTCCAGATGGGAAAACTGCCAAGATCATACCGTTTATATAGCTAGTGTTAATCACTAGACCTTCCAGAAACTCATGGTTCTGAATTGTAAATGCCATTTGATTTGCCCTTTCCATTTACTATAGTCCAGAATGAGACAAATATCTCAAAATGTTGCAAAACCCATTTCATTAAAAATTCTCATAAACACTTCTCTTTAAAGGTATCTTGAGAAAAAAATACCCCAGGTAATGTGTTATTTGCATACCTTTTTCCTGATAAATAAATTAATTTGTGCTCATTTCTAAACATTTAAATACAAAAATATGCATAAATGTGGAAACCATCCATCACCCTGCCAGTCAGAAATAACTCCTATTATTTTCAGGTACTTTCATTATGTTTTTTATCAACACATAATGGTAGATGTGTGTAGATATGTATACATTACTTTTTTTTTTCCAACCGATTATCATCTTTTATACCACATTTTTAATCTGAAATTCTCTATTAAATATTATATCAAGACTATTCCAGAAAAGTGATTTTTAATGGCTGTTAAAGAAGGTATTACTTTTATACAGCACCCCTCCCCACCATTGTGAATTTCTTCCCAGAAAAGACTGTCGGGGCCAAACACAGTATCTCATTCACCTGGACACAAGTTATGCTCCAGTGTGGGGTATGCACCCCACACTGGACGAAGTAGAGTCATTCTCCACAATTTTTCTAACAACAATAGATAAGAAATAGCTATCACTCCAGTTGGGTCACAAGGATAAAAGAATAAGAGCCTAACTCCCTTACAACCATTGATTCAATTTCTTGAGAGACATAGCCTGAGGATAAAGACAACTTACAGAAGGAAAAAAAAAAAAAAAAAAAAGAGCATATAGGAGACAGAGTCTCCACAGTATTCAAACCCCAAGATCCAGGCATCCCTGAGGCCGGTACCACTCTACCCTTTTTGTAGTTTCCCTCAGTGAAGCAATGAATTTGCCTTTTTGTTTAAGCTAACTGTAGCTTGCCTTCCATTACTTGCAAGTAAAGGGTCTTGACAAGTACGCTGTTGTTGTTGTTGTTGTTTGCCATCGAGTCGGTCCCGACTCACAGCGACCCCTCCTTGGGTTTCCGAGGCAGTATAACTACGGAAGTAGGAATGCCCAACCTTTCTTCCGAGGAGTGGCTGGTGGGTTTGAACCGCCAGCCTTCTGGTTAGCAGTCAAGTGCCTTAGCCACTATGCTACCAGAGCTCCTTTGACAAGTACAGATATGTAATATTCTGTGGCTAAGTCACTGTCCATTTGAAAACAAACATCATAAATAAGGTAGATGTCAATGTCCTTATATATAAATCTTTGTTCATGTCTTTAAGTATTTCCCAAGAATAGATTATTACATATACAGGGCTAGAGCATATGCATTCTTGTAGCACTCTTAACAAATGTTAAATTGTTTTTTAGAATGATTTTATCAATTAATATTTCCATTAACAGTGTATTATTGGTGTTTATTTCACTATGGCCTTATATCAACAGCGATGTTTATCATTTTTTAACTCTTGCTAATGGTATAAAATCTGTCATTGTTTTAATTTGTAATTCTTAGATGACTTCTTGTTGTTAGGTGCCAATGAGTCAGTTTCAACTCATACTGACCCTATGTACAGCAGGATGAAGCACTGCCCGGAATGAAACAGTGTTCTGCTGCTATTCATATGGTTTTCACTTGTCAGTTTTCTCAGAAGTAGGTCACCAGGTCCTTCTTTCTACTCTTAGTCTGGAACCTGTCCCCCATGAGTGACCCAGCGGGTATTTGAAATACAACTGGCACATCTTCCAGCATCACAGTAACATATAAGCCACCACAGTATGACAAACTGCAGATAAGCAGTAGCCTAAATGACTAGAGAATTGAAATTTTTTCGCTTTTGTTCTTCTGCAAGCTATTCACAACTCTTCACCTATTTGTTTGTTGGGATTTTGGTGCATGCTCTTCCCTGGGCTTTCTCACTTCTTTTAAGCTGTTTGAACTGGTTCAGTCACAGCTAATGAAGAAAAGTCAGAACAGACTTGAATTTCCAATATTCCAGTGAAGTGGAACTCTGAAAGGATCAGAAAAAATTATGGGTAAAAGTCCCGGAAGAGGAGACTCAGAAGAGGTGTGTGGTGAGCCCTTACAGGAGCTCCATGCAAGAGATTAGATTATTGCCAAGACCGTGAAGAGCGACACGTATTCAAAGTGACATGCTCTCCTGTATTCTCTGAACAGGGCATCATTGTTCTGGATTCTGCTAGTCAAGAGAATTGATTGCTATGCAACATACATGCTGTTCTTGTTTTCCAAAAGGGAGATTTAGTTTCTAGCAGGTGCTGACCTGTAATTTTTTCTCATTCCAGTTAACATTCCAGTTCACACATTTTACAAATTTAGGCCTGTTTTGGTTTCACTTTGTCAACCCTGACTGAACTGGGAAGAACCAGTTCAAAGCCCTGGCTTTTCCTCAAATGTTACTTTCTTATGAAATTTTCCTTATTATTTGATTTCAATTTTTCTTCCTCACCTACCCCAGGCACTTCCCATCCCACATCTGATTTATTTTTCTCCGTATCACTTATCTCATTCTAACATTTATTTGGTTCATGGTCTGTCTCATCCCAAGCCCCATCATACACAGAGATTTCTATGTATCCCCAACACCTAGAATAGCATTTGGTACCTAGTTGTGATCTATAAGGAGCCTTGATGGTACAATGGTTAAAGAGCTCAGCTGCTAACCAAAAGGATGGAGGTTCAAATTCACCAATGTTTCCTCAGGAGAAAAAATGTGGTGATCTTCTCCCATAAAGATTACAGCCTAGGAAACCCTATGGAACAGTTTTAGTCTGTCCTTTAGGGTCACTATGAGCTGGAACCAATTAGAAGGCACATAACAACAATAGATAATCTATAAGGAGATCTGGTAGGGCGACGGTTAAATATTTGGTAATTAAGTGAAGGATTGGTAGATTGAACCTGCTCAGCCACTCCAAAGGAGAAAACCCTTGGGATCTGCTCCTGTAAAAATCACAGCCTATAAAACCCGTGGGCAGTTCTACTTTGTTATATGGGGTCACTAGGAGTCAGAATTGATTCAATAACACCTAATAAAATGTTTTTTGGTTTTGAGTTTTATTAGGTGCCATTGAATTAATTCTGACTCCTAGTGACCCCATATAACAAAGTAGAACTAACCTATACTCGTTGAAATGAATTAAAACAATGTATTTGTGTGATACATAAACATAATGACTACTGTCATGTTTGTGGTAAACATTTTCTCTTAATTGTGATTAAAAGAAAATCACAATTAAGAAGTAAATAAGCCAGCTGGTTATTTACTTTTAATTGTGATTTTCTTTTAAACTAGAGGTTTTACATTTTAATGCTAATTAGCCTTTGTGATTTCTTCAATACCACTTTGGGCTTAGAAAGTTCTTCCCTAAACCTAGATCAGCTAGGCTGATCTATCTCTTATATTTTATTTCTGTCTTATGTTGCTTTATGATTTTGTTCGCAATTCCTTCTTAACAACAAGAAAACTAAAAAGCTCCCAGGAGACATAGGGAAGCAAACCTTACCTAGAGGCGCTATGTTGATAACATAACCATCACCCAAGTACAGTGCCCAGTGCTGATAGCCAGGACGGAACACTTCAATCAAGTCCCCCTGCTGGGGGTTGCCAGGGTAGTTCAAACTAAAGCAATCATTAAACGCCATCTGCAACGACAGACACAAAGAGGATCTATCAGATACAACTTGCCAGAAGAGAACTAATTTAAAACTTCTATAGATGCACAGTGATTTAGCATTTACTAGGATTGCATTCCTTATCAATGACTTACACTCACACTACCACCTTTGATGGATATTTGAATAGTTCCAATACTGAAATATATTTGCACAAGTTTGCACAGGTAGAAAAAGAATTTGTTTGTGATTGCTTAATTTCCTATAAGTAATGTTTCTCATCTTGATCAAACCCAGGGCCCTTCTTTTATAACAAGCATTTCATAATTCTCTCTTTTACTCCAGAAATTCATGGATAACATATCTTACTTATGTATAAAAATTCAAAAATATTAATATGACACCATATTTGTAACAGAAAGAATAAAAGGAAAGTAAATTTATAATATGCTTTATTATCTAAATGCTCAGTCTATGACTACATTAAGTGATATCATAAAATATCTATGTTTGCACATACTTATCATGAAAAAAGGACTCAGGAGAACATCAGGTGGCTTCCGTACAGCAGCATATTAAAATCAAAGAGCAGAGGTATGGTGGATGTTAATATCCCATGAATATTAAAACTGTAAAAAAAATACTTTGTATTGTAAAACATAATCTGTCATTTCATTTTAATAGAGACAGGTTCCAGGTTCCAGGTTCCAGCCAGATGTTCAGCTATAATGGAAGAATACGGCCATTTTTCTTCCTTGTTCAAGAGCTGTGTTATGTATTATAGTATGCCCTTGGTCATTGTAACAACCACAAATGCCCCACCAATATCCACCATTTGCCTTACTGTCCCACTTACTGTCTGATTACTCAATTAACTGTTTCTAGAAATGGGGCAAGGTGGTAAAAGACAGTGGGGCAACTTCGAAGGTTGGGGGGTTCATCATACTGATGAATGTATCTGAACGTTCTAAGTTTGGTAGACTTAGAAAAGGTGTTTTGTTTTGTTTTATTAAATCAATACTTTTCAGAAAGAACATATACATTTCGGCTTGTTGATTTTTCTGGCAAGTTACATTTTCTACATATGACTTAGAAATAGAGAGATTTAGCAAGAGGAAGCTATGCTTATCTATCAACAAAGAGAGATTCAATGCTATATCCATGTTGAGTCTCTGACAACAGAGCGTTCTTCATCATCTCCAACTCTAATGCAGATATGAACATTCATTTACAAAATAAATCCAAGTGCCAGAGTGGAAACTTCTGAATCATCTAAATTATAATGGCACAGGCTAAGGACTTGGGAATATAGACTATCATTTTGCTGGCATGCTAATCATTTTTTTTTACAACAATTAATATTGGAAGAGTGTTTTCCCAAGTATTTGTATGCCATCTGTTGAAAACTTCAATCATCACACTGTCAGAGAAATGTGGCCAAATGTAAGCTGTCCATCTGTTGAAATGTAACTATTAAAATAACTTTATGGAAACCATTAGGCCTAACCACCCTCTCAAATATGTTTGAGTCTTATTAGTATGACAATTTGGCCACGTGGGTACTAAAAAGAAAAACAGACAATATATTATGATATAAACAAACACATTTCCCATGAATAGGAATCAGCAAGCACACACAGCTGCCTACTAGAACTCTGAGACCTATCCAAGCATGTAATAATAACCACCATTTGAACGTAGAGAACTTTGTAGTATAACATCTTTTTTCAAATGTACTATCTCAATTAACCTTACTTAATGAAAACAAAAACACAATTATATCTGTTAATTATTGCATTATCATTCTATCTTACAGATGAAAACTACAGTGGCAAATGCCAAATATTAAAAAATTCCCACTGAAACCCTCATGCTACAAAATGCAGAGGGACAAATAACTGGATTAGGTGGCTCTTGTCTCTGGTCTTCCACTTGCTAATTCTGTGACTTTGGGTAAATCATTCAAATTATCTGAGGGTTAGGTTCCTCATTTCTAAGGTGGGAATGGGGGCAGTGCTCAGGGGTAAAATTCTCACTTTCTATGTGGGAGACCTGGATGTGATTCCTTGCTAATGTTGCGCGTGCACAGCAGCCACACTCATCTGTCAGTGGAGGTGCACATGTTGCTATGATGTTGAACAGGTTTCCTTGAAGCTTCCAGGATAAACCAGGCAAGGAAGTAAGGCCTGGTGATCTAGTTCTAAAAATCAGTCTATAGAAACCCTATGGAACACAGTAGGTTGATTCCACTGTTTGTGGGGTCACCAAGATTAGGGGCCAACTTGAAGGTACCTAACAAGAAGAAGATGGAATAAGAATATGGGGCCAATTTATTTATCTCAACAAGTTGTGGCAAATAATCCTTCATGAACTTGCAAAAAGCTGTTATAGGGGCTTTGTAAACTGCCAAGAGCAATACAGATGGATGATAAGAGGGAGGTGGCTTTTTGCAAAGATAAGGTTTAGGTATTGGTTCATGGCCTACATGTGGTCTTAGAATGCTCTCTTGAAGCCACAATAATTCTATGGTATGTATGATTCCACTGCAGAATTGTAATATATTTACCACATTTTAAATTTCTGACATATAGTTCATGAACTGATTTATGAAGTGTAAATTCATTGATTTCATAAACCCTATCACAGTCATAAACAGAGGCTCCAGGATCAAAGAAAACATTTTATAAGAGTAACCCTTCATGAAGCCAAAAGAGGTCCCTCAAGGCTAGTGTGGAAGCAGAAACGTGAGTTCTATACTAAATATTTAGAATTGCAAACATTTACTGCTGAAAGTTACTTTAGATATTATCTAGTCAAAAAGCTGTTTACACCAGCTGGGCTCTTGTATCAAACCACGTATCAGATGGACCATAAAAATTAAGCCATATTGTTGGTCTGATAGAACCTAATAGAACCACTGAGACAATGGCCCCTAGCTGTCCTTCAGGTCTGAAAATGAACCCAGTCCTGTGGCTTCCAGCCAAAAAAATGACAGAGATATGAGCTGAACATTTATATGAGGTAGATACACTCATTGAAGAGATCAATCGTGGGAGAATAGAAGGGCTGTGTATGCACACGGAGCCAGCTCGGGGGCAGGAGTGCATGGGAGAGAGAGAACATAAGGAAGAGCTAACTATGGGGAGGAAGTGGGAGGGGAGCTGTTGCACTATGGGAAATTGCAGTCAATGTCATGAGACAAAGTATATGTGAGCTGTGGTATGGAAAGTGATTTTCTCTGTAAACTTTCACCCAAATCACAATAAAAATTAAAAAAAAAAAAAAAAAAGCCATAAAAAAGCAACACCACACTGGATGACATCATAGAGGAGTAGGAGAGCACCATCTTCTCCTTGCTCCCCCTGTTGCTCATGAGGCTCCTTGGGATCCCAGAGCTTCTAAAAATGCAGCATTCCATCTAGAACTCTGGTAGTGTAGTGCCTGAGACATTTCACTGCTAACCAGAAGGTTGGCGGTTCAAACCCACCAGCCACTCCGTGGAAGGGAGACCTAGGAAATCTACTTCTGTAAAGATTTATAGCCTTGGACTGGGCAATGTACTTCCATAAAGATTTACCACCTTGGAAACCCAAAGAGGATTTGCTATGAGTTGGAATTGACTCAATGGCAGTAACTTTGGTTTGTTTAGCCCTAGTTCAACTCTCTCATTTTTAAAATAAAAGCAGCAGAATCAGGAAGGTAATTTGACTTGGCCAAGGTCATAATGCTATTTTACAGAAGATTGTCAACAAATGATACTGGATCAACTAGACAGCCATAGGCAAAAAAATAAACCTTAATGTGGGTCTCACACTTTACACAGAAATTTACACAAGCCATGCTATTTTCAACTGCCTCATATGCATATGAGAGCTGGACAATGAATAAGGAAAACTGAAGGAGAGTTAATGTTTTTGTGTTGTGGTGTTGGTGAAGAATACTGAGAGTACCACGGAGAAATTAACTTGAGATGGAGCATGATAATAATTATAAAATATAAACCTATGAAACTTTTAGGAAACAACATAGGAGAAAATCTTCAAGATCTAGGGCTAGGCAAAGTGTTCTTAGACAACACAAAAAGCAAGATCCATAAAAAGAAAAATTGATTAACTGGACTTCCTCCAAGTAAAAACTTTTACACTGTGAAAGACTCTGAGAAGATGAAAATACAAGATACAAAGTGGGAGAAATATTTGCAAACCACGTATCTGACAAAGGACTAGTCAGAACATAGAACGATATCTCAAAACTCAACAGTAAGAAAGTTAAGCACCCCAATGAGAACATGAGCAAAATACATGAAGTGACATTTCACCAAAGATACACAGATGGCAAAAAAAAAAAAAAAAAAAAGTCTCTATAATAAAAAATAGTGACAACATCAAATACTGGAGAGGATTCAGAGACACTTGGTAGCTCATATATTGCTGGTGGGAATGTAAAAATGGTACAGCCACTCTAGAAAAAAAAAAAAAAGAGTTTGGAAATTTCTTAAAAACTAAATTTGAACTACTATATGGCCCAGCAAATGTACTCCAGGCCATTTACCTCATGTATGCTCTACAACCACTTATGCATCAATGTTCATAACAACTTTATTCATAATAGCTCCAAACTAGAAACAATCAATGAATTTCAACTAGTAAATGGTTAAACACACTGTGGTGCAGCTATACCGTGGAATACTTACTCAGCAATCAAAAGGAACAAACAATTGATACACACAGCAACCTGGATAAATCTCCGGAGAATTATGCTGAGTAAAAAAAACAAAACAAAACAAAAAAAACCTCAATTGCAAAAGGTTCATAGGTTCATCTGGTTCCCTTTAAGTAACATTTTTGAAATGATAATGCTGTGGAAATGGAGAACACCCTAGTGGTTGCCAGGGGTTAAGGAGGGAGTAGGAGGTAATGAGTGTGTCTATAAAAGAAAAATTTAAGGGAATTCCAGTGGTGATGAAAACCTTCTGTATCTTGACTGTGTCAATGCCTATACACTGTATTGCACTGTAGTTATACTGCGCT